AAAAAGGGACACGGATTTTGAAGTGTCGGACACGTATCGCACCGTGTCCCACCCGTGTCGGTGTCGGACACGCGTGTCGACACGGACACCTCGGCTAGGTGGCGTGTCCGTGCTTCACAGCCTACTAGTACCCTAACCTACTGCCGACCAAGCCCTTTCCCTTCCCCTTACCGCAATCGCCGCGACGCCTCTTTACAAACTGCCGCGAAACCCCACGAAATCAGATCGGCCCCCTCCCTATGCCGATTAAGCAGCAGCCATGAAATCCCACGAAATCAGATCGGCCCTCACCCATCACAAATCAACCACTACAACCCATTCTCACAACTCCCACGCGCATCAACCATATTCCCTGCCTAACTCCACCATCCAATTCGGTGGTGGGCGAAGGTAAGGCGAGGATTTTCGGTGGTGGGCGAGGGTGAGGCGAGGGGTTTCGGTGGGGTGGCTAGCTGTTTTGGTGGTGGGGAGTGTGGTGCGGTGGTGGCTGGGTGGTTTTGGGTATTTTCGGTGGTGGCTGGGTGGTTTTGGGTATTTTCGGTGGTGGCTGGGTGGTGGCGTCAGTGTGTCGACAATTTGTTGGTGGCTAGGCGATGGTTCTAGTGGTGGTTGGGCGGTGGTGTTGGTGGGCAGTTGGTGTTTCGAGGGTGGTCAAGGTAGTTAAAAGGTTGGTCAAAGTAGTTGGGTGAAGAGGAGTTTGGGGGTTAGGGTGATTCCCTTGGGGGGTGGGGAATGAAAATAGAGGAAAATGGGGTAATAGGAGGGGTAAAGAGAATGATTGAATTTGCCTATCAAACATCAACAAAGGGAATCATGACAGTTGATTCCCTCTCCCTTTGTTGAATACCCCCAACCAAACGGCCCCTAAAATTCTACATATTCAAGCCTCAAATTACCATGTTTGATCTTACATATATTTGAATAAAGAAAAAAGTTTTGCAATAGTGGAGAAAAAGAGTGATTGATTAGAACATACGAAGTTGAAGATAGTACAATTTCTTGAAAATTTACATTTCCAACAAATAAGATAGTTGCATAACCTAATTGCTTCATTTAATCATTAAAAAAATCGCTAATGTCATAGATCAACCACATTGTTTAGTCACTTTCTAAATTCATTGGTCGACCACATTATATTTAGACCAATAGACAATAATAGTGTAATTTAATTACCACTACTTTCTCTTTATCTCTTTTTATTTTAACACAAAACAGTCCTAATCCTTGTGGACGTGATTAGGCCGCGTAGTACGGTCGGATAATCAAAGCATAACAAACCTAAAAAGATATTCGTCAAATTCATTTAATACTTTATTTATTTAATGATTGATTGATTCCCCTTTAATCGTTAATTCGATCGTTACGTTCTATTATTATCTTTCATGCAATTTAATATATAAATATTGCTCGTTGGATTTAACAATAATTTATAATTAAATTAATAATTTAATCTTTTCAGATTGGCACTTTCTAGTCTTTTCATTAAATTAATAATTTAATTGCGGTCAAGTTTGAAAGATTGTAACCTATACAACTTTTGGGTTAAATAAGTCATGTTTTATACCTTTGATTTCATAAGTATATAAAACTAAACTAAATCTACATTTCTTCACCATTATGGCATTATAATGTTTCCTTATTTGACAAATCTAGGTAAAATAAAGGGAACAAGTTAGCGAAGGTACATTGAATTTAAGTGCTATTTTTGGCTAATAAGTAATCTATTGCCTGTCAGAAGGGCGGTGGGGGCTTACCTATTACTCTATTAGTTTATTTAATTAAGCTTAATTATTGTTCCCTAATAACAATTTCATTTGCTGAAGTAGGGTATGGGTGTATTGGTGTACGAATTTGTTTAATTTGACTTATTTTGCGTATATCTAATTTTTGTTTGAAATTATTCGGAAAAACATACTATATTTTCTAACATTAAATGATTTTTATTTTTGAAAAATGAGTTGAATAGAATAAGATTTATACAAATTCGAGCGAAATAGCAATTTTGGTTTGGAGTGAACACTGAAGAGAGGGTTGGTTGGGGGTAGTTATCTCTTAAATTTCTTTGTTAAACGACAAACAATGCTATATGAATTGAAAGTTCAGGAGTTGACTTAGTTTATTAATGTAGACTAGCCTTAATTATAGAAAAATACGTTTGTGTGTTCATATTTAGGATCAACTAAACCATGGCCGTAGTCCTAAAATGGCCCTTCTAATGTTATGGTTCTAATTAAGTTGGAGACTTGACTAAACAGTAGTTGAAATATTTAGTCTATCGTCTTTAGCTTACCTTATTTATTATTTTTTTCAATGAAAATAAGTTTTAATCAACTTGTATAAGTTCAAACAATTTTAAATATGTTATACAAAGTAAAACTTATAATAAGTTCACTGATAGTTAAAATGAATTTCAATAAGTTAAATTAATTTATTGATCGTAATGACTCTTGCCTGAATTGAACTTTGATTGGTCATAAGTTGTGCATGGAAGCGACACCAGCTAGGCTGAAATTAGAGTTACATGTATAACAAAAGAGAAGGTATTGGGTGCGGACGTCCACGTGAAAATTTGGTGCGGGAGGCTTGGCTGATATATTTTACTTGTTGGCTGATATGGTTTTTATGTTGGCTAATATATTCCTTTTGTTGGCTGATATGTTTTTTTTTTTTTCCTTTTGTTGGCTGATATCAGACATCATTTGGCTTATATGTTTATTTTGTTGGTTGATATGTATATTTTAATTGTTGGCTTATATGTTTCATTTTGTTGGCTGATATGTTTATTTTGTTGGCCTACCTGTTGCTTTTGTTTGCTGATTTCATCCTTTTGTCGGCCGATATGCTTCCTTTGTTGGCTGACATGTTCCTTCTGTTCGCTGATAAGTACTTCTTGTTGGCTGATATATTCCTCTTGCTGGCTGATACATTTATATTAATGTCTGATATGTCCCTAATGTTGACTGATATCAGTCATCAATTGGCTGATATGTTCATTTTAATGGTTTATATACATCCTTTGTTGGCTAATATGATTAATAACATACAATATATTTTATTTCCTTCTCTCTCCTCTTTCCCCCCACTTCCTCTCTTTTTTCCAAATGAATAATGTATCAGCCAACAACCCAAAATATCAACAACCCAAAAATAAGCGAACAACACAAAAATGTATCAGCCAAAGTACTCACGCACTCCCTGACTCTTCACCACCCCCAAACTCACACCATCGCAGTTCGCAGCAGCCAACCACCAACCCACCGATCCCACCGTTCACCGCACCCACCAAACACCAACCCACCTCCAAACTCAGACCAACTCGAACGACTCACACCACCGCAGCCAACCACCTCCAAACTCACCCCACCGCAGCCAACAACCTCCAAATTAACACCATCGCAGCCAACCACCCCGCAAATCGCACAAATTCGATTGCCGTAGTTTCGATTTGGAATGAGAAGCCGATTTGGTGGTGCGATAGTGAAGCAGTCGAAATCAATCAGCACCCAAGCAGTAGTTTCGATTATATTGCAGTAGTTTCGTCCACCGTCATCTTCGTCCATTGTCATTTTCGTCCACTATCCATCGCAAATCGCATTTCTTCATCTTCGTCAGGTAATGTGTTTGAAGGGGAAAGGGTTGCCGCACGAACTGTTGCACCCAATAGTTTGTGATAACAAAATTAGGAAATTCTAACTCAAACACGTTACACATTAATTAAACCTTTGATGTATAAATTCAAATTACATGTAAAATTTTCATGTGATTGAAAATATGATTTGGGTTTGGGCACTCATCAATGGGGCTAGTGCCCACCAGTGATACTCTTGTTCCATTTTTGGGACATAGAAATTATATGTGTACCTTTATGGGAGGTAAGGGACATTGGTATGGTACCTCCCCACGTTTGTAAGATTTTTTAGTGGTTTCAAAATTACTTAAATTTCATGAGTCTTAAATTCAATAATTCTAGAAGACTAGTACACAAATATCATACTATATTATACTAGGGTTATAAGAAGTAAAGACAAGAAATTACATACACTTATTTTGCTATTGTGTGCTTGTATTTGACAAAAAAATTAACTTGCACGGTTGGAGATAATCCTCTCCATGGTGATACATATAACTTCTCTATGTATGTGTAGAACCAATTTTATATTATTTTATTTTTTTTCCATAATGTTACCTATTTTTCTAACATTTATACAAAAAATAATAGCAAAAAACTAGGCAACAATAAAAAAAAAAAAAAAGAAATCAATACTTTTATGGACATACACCGTGGTAGTTCATATTTATTACTCCGTAACAATTTAGAGTTGATACTAAGATATAGTAGGAAGTATGAAATGAAAATGCCCCTTCCCGGCTTCCCATGTACTTTTCCTTCTCAAAATTAATAACACTATGCCGGTAAAAAAAAAATGTATGGAAAATAACTCTATATTTACGAAAATAAACAAAAACAAATCCCAATATATAAACCCGGCCTTTGTTACATATGACACTTTGTACAATAATGATAAAATTGAAACACCTCTAAAGAGGGAAAACAAAAAACCCTATTATCATGTAATCTTTGATCCTGTTAACCAAAAGTGTTACAATTTAACATTACCACACATTTTTGTTATTAATCAACAGTAAACAGCATGCCTCTTGCCCTCTTCCTTCCTTTGGACTACATGATAACCATAATATTAATAATCATTATAAATACACTCACAACCCTAAACACACAAATTAAAGTTATGAGAGTAAAAGTTAATACAAAGTACTCCATATGTATTAAATACGTAGTAGTTAAAATCTTAAACAAATTACCAATCGAAATATTACTTAGATTTAATTTCATTAAAATATGACTAATTAATACAGTAATTAAACGGTAAAAGCTAACGAATGCCTTTGGGGCGTAAGATAAGAAAACTAAAAGTGGAAATATTATAATAAAACAACATTAATAATACAGAATGACGCGTAATTTTGTTATGCATTATTAACTTAATACCCGTACAATTTTAAGCAATATATTCAATTATCTAACGCCGCAAAACGCTCGTTAACAAAATACTAATTGAATTTCGTTTACATTACTATCCTATTCCGATTGTGGCTCCATCGACATACAAGTTACGGAGTAGGAGTATAAAAAAAGTTTGGTCAAAAAATGAGTGGAGTTGCAGGCAATTAATAAGTCGAGGCGCACCATACAGAACCATCAGAAAGAGGAGAGAGAAAAATCTGACAAACTTGCTGTGTTTTGTGGTGTGTGGACCAACCAATATCCCTCTTTTTCTTCAATCTTCATCACACCTTTAATTCCAACCTCTTCTCCCCAAAAATCAACACTTTTCTTTCTTCTCCTCTTTTTCTTTCTTTCTTTCTTCTAATCTCACCTCATTTTATACCTATTAGCTTAGCTAATCACATGATTAGACCATAATTAATTAACCCATCTTGAATTATTTTTTTTTTTTTGAAACTTTCTTATTGGTGCAGGCAGATTCTAAGCAAGCAAGCAAAGCTCTTGGTCCCATCAACAAATATGTCTGACTTTAGGTTTGTTTTCTTAGCCTAAAGTATATAAACAACCCAAAATCGTAAAGGTACGTGGTACATATGATATAAGGTCGTCAACATTGTTAGCAACAACACATTATTACCCTTTATAACTCTCTATACACGCAGATAAAAGAGCAATAAAAAGAGAGTCCGGATTCGGATCGGGTTCGAGTTTGGTTTCGTGTTTGGGGAGAAAGTATAGTATAGTGGTGGGAGCAATAATTAGGAAATTGGACCATTTTGCAGGCCGTGGGGAAGAAGAACATGCTACTGTCGGTTGTTCTGTACTAAACCCTCTTCTTGTACTAGTGCTCCCTCCACCCCCTTATTATTCTTCCTTACAATCACATCTTGTCTTACTATTTTTACTAAATTTAAACATTTTTAGGGGTCTTTCATTATTTTTTTGATGAAAATTAACATCTTCTTAATTATATTTTCATGTTAATAATCTTCTTTGGTGTCAATTGATCAACCCATCAAATCCTACTCCTAACCCATTAAGATAGGGCATATTATCATATATGGGTTAGTGGATTGAGCACCTACCCATGTCAAAATCATATTTTGTATCCTTATTTATGTTGCATATTCAATTACTGTATATACTCCATAAATAGATTTCTCCATTAAATCTTCCCTTAATATTGTTGTTTGTCCTAAGTATGAATTTTGATTAACCCTTAATCTTTTCATTTTAGAAATTATAATTTAGGCACATTTTTTTTTTAAAAAGTGTCAATTTTGTATTGGATTTGATTTTGAATGGAGGTTAAGAAACCAAATAAAGAGATTCCATTTCATTCCAATTCTTTCATCCACAATAATCTTAAAAAACCTCCAAATCCTACCCTAGATCTCTCTCATCTAGACAAATACAAAGATCCGAGCCCAAGCCCGGACTCAAACAGCCCGAAAGCGGAGATGATCCGCTATCGGGAGTGTCAGAGAAATCATGCGGCTCATTTAGGGAGCCACGTGGTAGATGGGTGTGGTGAGTTTATGCCTTCGGGCGAGGAGGGTTCCCTCCTCGCCTTGAAGTGTGCAGCCTGCGACTGTCATCGCAATTTCCACAGACAAGAAGTGGAAGGCGAGACAACAACAGCAGCAACAGCTACTGCTACAGCAGCAACAATTTTACCAGTGGCACCTGCTGTGCCACCTTCTGCTATGACTACAACAAACTGTTACATTTCATTCAGCAAATACCACAAAAATAACAATAATCTTCTGTCAGTACGCCCAAATTCTGATACTACTACTTCTCCTGCTGTTTACTATCAGCAAGGAAAACACTTCTCCCACCCCCAAGCGCCCGTAATGATGGCGTTCGGGGGCGGGGGAGTAGCAGCTGAATCCTCAAGCGATGACCTCAACGCTGGGAATTTCGATTACAGAGGGCAGTTCGTAGAACAATACGGAGTATCAAAGAAGCGATTTCGTACAAAGTTCAGTCAAGAACAAAAGGATAAGATGATGGAATTTGCGGAGAAAATCGGGTGGAAGATGCAGAAACAAGATGATGTACAAGTGCAGCGTTTTTGCCATGAAGTGGGTGTTAAAAGGCAAGTTTTCAAGGTTTGGATGCACAATAACAAGCAAGCTATGAAAAAGAAACAAGCTTGATAGTAATATATCATGGATGTAGTGTTTTTTTTTAATTTTTTTTTTATAGAAGAATGAATAGATTATTTGTGAATAATTAAGTTCGATTAGTGTATTTTTTAGGATTATAGAATATAGTAATTAAATGAGTATATCCATCCCTATTATCTAATTTTTATTATTTTTTTGCATTAGATGATGGATTTATATTATTTTTGAGTTTCCATATTTCAAAGGAAGTTAATTAAGGTGAATTTGGCAACCAGATTTCTGCACATTTCTCCTCCCAAAATTCTATTACTGTTATGAGTAATTGAGTACCTTACTATTGGCAAAATGGCAAAGCATGGTTATCAACATTAATCAAGAATCAAAAGCTGGACAAAAGATAGATCATTTTGGCTTCGTTCTCTAAGTGACCGACATACGCTGCTAATCATCAAAGGTATGTTGAGATTTTACCCTAATCTTCTCTCCAATTGAAATTCCTATAATTTCGAAACATTAATCATGTTACACCACATAGAATATGTTCGTTGTAAATATAATTTCAAATAGGCTAGTTAATTACAGAGTAAAATATTAGATGATATTGAAAACATATAATCAAATTTTAACTACACTATTTGCGTTTGTACGAGATAAACTTATTCGGACAATACTCTTCAAGAACCATGTAGTAAATTTTAAATCTTTCAATATGTACAAGTATATTCTAAACGTGTAGCTCTAGATCATGAGAGGGCTGTCAAATTTATAGCCGTACAATACTAAAAATGCATTCATGAAAGGAATTTTGGGAATCCAAAGGTCTTGTAGAGAATATTTTGGAGATTTTGAAAATACTTAGGGGTATCTTTAATTTGAGTTTATTAGGGCTTTAAGCCTTTAAAATGCAATTTTTGTATATTTTTGGTGGAAAATTGGAGTTTCTCGACGAAATTTCAATAGTATTCTACATAGTACGGATTATAAAAAGTTTAATGATGAAGTAATTGTTCTAATATTTGTTCTAATATTTGTTCATGAAGTCAAATTAGTACTCCGATCTTTTATATAGTTAAATGACCCTAAAATGCACTCACGTCCTATATTAAACCTCTTGAGACAAGAATCGAACCCATGAGCCAATGCCCTTCCAAATGGAGGATGATTTCCTATTATACAAGTTTATAAGGTGGGTAAAATAGTGGGTTTTGTACTAGCTAATTTGATTTATCTGTCCCTCCCATAGGGTGGGTGCCGACCTTTTGACTACTTAGACCTTTCTTCAATTAAGGGTGTTTAATGAAAATTAAACCTATTTCCCTCTTAAATTACCTGCTTTAGGCAGAAAGTCTCATCAAAGAAATTAGGATAAAATTAAGAAAGATCTTGATATTTTGACACTTCACGGTAAGGTTTTGATACAAAAATAATGCTCGATCTCCTCATCCAGCTAGGAAAAATAAATTGTTAGATGCAATGCAAGAAAGATAAGATAATCAATAAACAAAAAACATTATTACGTGATTTACTAATAGCTAACAATTTGTTAGTTATGTCTACGAAGTTCAAAATACTACAAAATGATGTTATGTTAAAAATAACGGAGTGCGTAAACTACTTCGTACTCCTCAAAACAAACTAGCCTAAAAAATAAGCCAAAACTAAGAACTGAGCCCAAAAGGAATAAACACTGGTGTTATGTCATTAGAAGCTCCAGATTAAGGCATTCCAACACAACTAAGATGGTGAAACTATTCCAATTAAAAGAACTAGGCGAAAACATCAAACTGAATTAGTGATCAGCAAAGTGTACAAAATTTGAGTTTTTATACTAGTAGATACTACGTAATCTTAAGGTTGTTATGAGGGAAGGCAAACAAACTTATGAGCGTGGACTCTAACCTTTTTTCGTCCCAAAATACCTTAACTATTTCAGGAAACACAAAAAACACCTTAATGGTTGGAAATGACTAAATAACGCCATTGTTAGAAGCAAATTAAACAACCATGCTCGGAGATTTGTCTATCATCCCTCATTGCTATATATCTATGACAAAGACGGATTCACTGGCGCATCTTAGCACCAACCTCACCTGCAACGTCTGAGGCCTTCTCTTTGGCAGCCACATACTTGGCCTTAGCTTCTTCACTAAAACCAGATTTAGTCATCGAATCATAAGCTTCCTCAACCTTATGCTTCGCTTCATTATAAACCTCTTCTAGGCCGTCTTTTGTGAATGATGAGGAGTTTGAAATTACATCTGCCTTCTCAGACGCATACTTCTTTCCATCTGGAGGGATTACTATTTTGGTGAATGACCACTAATGGAGATCAAAATTAATAACTATAGTTTAAGAGAGTTCATTAAAAGAGAGAGGAAAATTCATCAATTACCAAATGCAGATTCTTTGGCTTTGTCCCTCAAATTTTGTACGCCTTCTTTTAAGTCTTGCTTGTCCATCCATTCTCTGTCACTGAATATTAATTTTTAAAATCCTTTTGCATTGAAATTGAATTTGGAGATGACAATCGCTTAAATTAAATATCAAACAATTAAGTAATACTGACAAATTATTTATGAGAGAATAGCTTGAATTGTATTGATGATCTTGGCTATTATTTATAGCCTACAAAAGATAACCTACACAATATAAACTCTATCATATAAGCTTCCATAAATCTATCTTAGAATATCACTAAGATATATTATTATCCTAAATATAATATTATGAAATCTATATGAAAAATATATCAGAATAATATATTTTTCTATATTCCTAACACCCTCCCGCAATCGTAACGGCAGTAACACGAACGTTACGATTGGAAAGTCGCACTTTGTTGAAGTCGATTGAGTTGCACTACTATGTTGATGTCGCCTTCAATTTTTTTTTTATTTTAAAAAAAAAACGAACTTTTGCTACCACGATCCTTTGCTGGTGTCCATGGTCTTCTTTCACGGCCCTTTGCTGGTGTCCGTGGTCTTTTGTCACGGCCCTTTGCTGGTGTCCGTGGTCTTCTTTGCCACGGCCCTTTGCTGGTGTCCGTAATCTTCTTTGCCACGGCCCTTTGCTGGTGTCCGTGATCTTCTTTGCCAGGCCCTTCGCTGGTGTCCGTGGTCTTTTGCATTTTTTTTTAAATAATAAATAATACGCCAAACGTGGCTTTTCTTCATCTCCATGGAGATGCAATAATGGAGGAAGCACACTCAAACTTTACAACCTAACCAAATCACATATGATCATTCATATTGATAACATACACCAATAATAACCCACGTATCACATGGTTATTCCAAAAAAAAAGGATTAAATAAAAAAATAGAAATTTCAAAGAGCAATACTATTGCATAGCGGAAGCAAATTTATGAATCCCACCGGTGGGTTTAATATTCTAACCCACTGGCAGGGGGAGTATTTGTGTGAACGGTTCCAAGATTTAACCTGCTCTTGATACCATGACAAATTATTTATGAGAGAATATCTTGAATTGTATTGATGATCTTGGCTATTATTTATAGCCTACAAAAAATAACCTACACAATATAAACTCTATCATATAAGTTTCCATAAATCTATCTTAGAATATCACTAAGATATATTATTATCCTAAATATAATATTATGAAATCTATATGGAAAATATATCAGAATAATATATTTTCCTATATTCCTAACAACTTGTATATATTTGCAGGACTGGCTATCTAGTGAAGTACATTGTGTACGGAAATTTGATGAATCATAGTTAGGAGAACAACGAGATAAAAGTTGTGTTAAAGTGTAATATTTTTAAACAACACATGTAAGTGTCTCATATTAATAAAAGTTAAGAGAGTTGAACAGTTTCATTAAAAGGCTAAGGACTACTCCTATTATGATATTATCATATGATTTTAAGATGAAGGCCCCGTTCACTTCACCTTAATTTTGCTGAATTGAAACTATTTTTACTGAATTGAAATTATTTTTAATGATTAAAACTGAATTTTACTGAACTTATTTTTACTGAACTGAACTTATGAACTTATTTTTACTGAACTGAACTTATTTTTACTGATTTAAATATTTTTTCTACTGATTTTATATATATATATATAGGTAAAATAATCTATTTTTGTAATTTATATAGTTGGCATATATCACGATAATATATTATGCCAACCATATAAATTTACATAATATCGTATATAAAAATAGTTGGCCTATAATGATAATGTATATGGACAATTTAAAATTTTTGCAAAGAATTATCGTATATATAAATGGTTGACCTATAACGATAATGTATATGATTGTCAAATTAAATACATCAACTCTGACATGCATGCATATATATATGAGACTATTAAAATATATAGACCTTGTTACAAATAGTTGATCGTTAAAATAGTTTCAAAAGGAGCGAGTTGGAGTTAACGATCTCAAACCCAAAGATTTAGCACAATTTATGACATGCATGAAAAAAGTCTGGTTAATTAAATTTTTTGGTTTGAGTCAATTTTTTACTACGTATACGTCGGTTAACTGCGTGGAATTTACAAATAATTATAGCAAATATTGGTAGTTTGATTGATCATATCAAGGCATGTGATATTTAAGCAAAAAAAATATAACTGACATATTGGTAGTATTGTATAGATCATGTATATATAATCATATATAAATATCATATTTCAATATCTTATTGAATTTATTGTAAATGATTAGGTATCCTATTACGATGAATTTTGTTACCCTTTTATAAAATATAGTACTTGTATTTACCAAATATAACCGACTACAATATTATCAATAAAACATAATATTTTATACTTTACAAAAAAAAAGATTATATTTTATAACTATACAATATATGATAAAAGTGTAGACAAAAGTGATGCATAAAAAAATATATGTGAAGTATAAAAAATAAATCTTGTATGATAATATTTTGCAATATATGGAAAAAATAATTTACATAAAAGAATCCTAGTAAAAAAAGCATCAATGTACATGAACTTAAATTAATTTTACTGAAATTATTTTTGCTGAACTAAAATTATTTTTACTGAACTGAAATTATTTTTACTTAATATTATTTTTTTAAAGTTGAAGTGACCCAACTACAATAGTTGGGTAGCCATTATATTTCAAAGTTGAAGGGAACAAGGCCGAAACCTCCTAGGATTTGCATTGTGAGGTGGACTATTTTTCTCCATGACTAGTGCAACCCAGACTCGAAGGTGAGAAAGCAGCTACGTTGGTAAGAGCATGTGATACGTTAGTTAAATGATGCATCCTATAAGTATGATCTTATGTATACTAAGATGTGAAAAAATGTTCATAAGAAAGTTTATCATGTAATCGTAGCACTTCTCTTTTATATCAAGTCTACACTTTCATATTAAATCAAAACAAACTCACCGATTTAAACATTACTAATCTAATATGTAGACATTTTTGGAGAGCATTCGGAGCGCCACGTAAGAAATATACTTATTTCAACCAATAAGAAGAAAGATTTGTATTTTATTTTTGTATTAAAAAATTATGTCGCCACCTAGATAAAAGTAACGAATTAGATTTGTTATATCTAAAATTTTGATGCCACGTAAATTATAATCTACGAATTAAATTATTTTAATGAAAAAAATAAAGTAAAAATATAGGAATAGATAAATTTATTAATTCAATACTACGAGTATAAGAAATCCAAAACAAATATACTAAGAAATATTTAAATGATAAACATTTATAATAAAGTTTGATACCTATCATTATAAAATAAATTTTTATAATAAGAAATACAAATTGTTCGTTAATTATAATTAAATTAAAATTTGTGATACCTATCATTATTAATTGACACATCATACGACACAAACAAAATTTCGTATCAATAAAAAACCCCATCAAGCGAATTTTGTGTTAGTAATTTTGTGTTAATTTTTGGTTCAATGGTCGGGTAATTTTTAGCTTATTTTTTAAAATTCTATGTTTAAATTAGTATTTCTATGTTTACCAATATTTTTAAAACAATGAATAGTATTTCTATTTAAACATAGGGTTTTAATTTATATCAAACGAGGTTGGTGATTCTATGGAAATAAAAGATACGGTAAAACAATGAATAGTGATTTAGGATTTAAATTATTAAAAATTTATCATTTCACATTAAAGATTTTATATAACGGAAAAAAATATCATATTTACAATTTATTTATATTTAATAAATTCATTATAAATTATAATAAAAAAAATATTAAACTTTTGTAATTTTGTCTGAAATTATTAAATACAATAAATCGAAAAATTAAAAATCTTAGATGAAAAACCGTGCATCGCTCGGGCTTCCATCTAGTTAATACTATTTCAAAACCAAAGGGTATAAAGTCTTATTAGTAAAATACTTTACACGATATAGACAAATATTTAAACCTCTACTACTTTATTTTATGATCAATCATATAATATACTCCGTATAATTTACAGGAGAGTATTATAAACAATATCACTTACCTTGAAGAAATATACGTAGCATTAATATAATTTTTTTTCTTTTTTTCCAAATCATATATTTTTTTTTTATTCACTTTCTTTTATCATGCATTTACTTATTAAGTCACATTAATTTTCCTCGCTAATTAATAATTAACACACTCACTGGCTAGTTCTTAAGTTAAAGTAATGGAGGCTAGTATAAAGATGTATAATATATACTTTGAACAAAAATAATTTAAAGTGAATACCCGTAGCAATCGTCAGTCCAAGGATGAGCAGACTCTCCCATAGTATTGAACGGCGAACACATCTTACCATTTTCTGCAACCACTATCGCTGCCACCTCCGCCGTCACAGCCACCGCCCACACCATCATTGCTGCTATTCTACACACCATTTCATCCATTCTTTCTATATGTTTAGAAATGATAATTGGCTTTTCAATATTTTGATAATAATGAACAACAATAATTTTGTGAAATTGGTGATAGAGTTCAATTAAAGGTTTTGGGTAGTGTACGTTTGGAAACATACGTGAGAATTGCATCTGTAAAAGGTCTATATTTAATCTTAGGTGTCATTTTCTTTAGTTGCCACATTCTGGTAAAGGTTTTATCCGTTTGCCACGTTGTTACATCCTGCTATTAGAATCTTATACTATGTAATTGACTACAAAACGACTCCTCTTAGACCATCTCCGTTGGTGAAACTCAACTTTGAGTATTGAAATAAAAAATGAGTTAACTCAACTTTGAGTATTGAAATAAAAAATGAGTTATTTTTTATCTCTAATGGTGATACCCGACCCACTTCTCAATTTTGCAACTCATGTGAAATCTAATTTCCAATGGTGAGACTCTCTAAAGTATACTAATTGTAAGTTTTTTTTAAAAAAAAAAATCAAAACTTAAATAATTTACAAAATACATTATAATATTGATAAGGGTCTACACTTTTTGTCAAATGAGACTCAAAGTTGGGTATCTAAACTTAGCAACTTTCTTTTGTAGATGCTAAGTTTAGATACCAACTTATTGGCATACTTTGTAAAAAATACTCTCCCTCCTAAAAAAAACTCCCTCAAATCTCACCATTAGAGATGGTCTTATATGCTTCTTAAGAAAAAAGGGAAAGCGGCAATTTTTAGAAAAAAAAAATTATCTTACGAAACATATCATATTAACTTAATTCAAAGATTAGGATTTCCTTATATTTACTCATAATTTTAAATAAATTGGAGATGATACTATAATATATATGCCGATAATAAATGTATCATGTCGTGTTCTAGGATGCACGGAAACGGATACGGACACGGACACGGACACGATACGGACACGGGAAAACGGCAATCCTAAAATAGGGGACACGGGTACGGCGTATAACAAGGCATATAATATATTAAAAAAAACGAGAATTTGACAACTAATTCAATAAAACACTAAATAATTAGTCTCAAAACACACAATTTTAATTAAACAAGTAAATGAAAAAAGTGTACGGACATAGTCGGATACATATCAAGAAACCATCAAACCAGACATGTCTTAATAGTACTCTTCAAGTAATCAAACAAAACTAGAAACATAACACAAAATCAAACATCTCATCAAGTAATCAACAAAACTGTCAAAACACGGTGGTGGGCGGTGGTTGTCTGGCTGACGACGAACAACAAATTGAATTATTGAAGCAATTGAATTTCAGAAAATCAGAAGTTCTTACACACTTACACTGATTAAAACCCTAAAAAATTCCCCAAATTAGCATTACTCGAATTCACTTCAGAATCACAGCAATTGTTGAATGGCAGAAATTGAGCTCCAGTAAAGATAACAATGGAGCTCAATTGTTGAATGGCAGAACACCAAGAAATAAGCACGAAAAGGCTGAAATTGAGCTCCATTAAAGACAACAATGGCGGAGACTCAGAAAATGAAGACCGATTAAGTTCTCTCCCAGACTCCATTCTCACCGACATTCTCTCACTTCTCGACATCCAAGGATGCATATTCAGAATTTTAATTGAATTTTAAAAAAAAAAAGTAGAGAAGAACCATACCTGGTGGCTGACACGGGCGACAAGGTGGGCGGTGGAGTGATAGGTGGTGGCTGAGGACGAGCAGGCGAACAGCAAGGGCCAGGCCAGTAACTCCAGCAACCCCCGCAACAATGAGAGATGAAGGCCACGAGCAGCAAGGGCCAGGCCAGCAACCCTGACAACCGGCAAGGAGGCGAGTGGCGGTGACGGAGACAGCAAGCCGGCGGTACGGTGAGACCTACAAGTCGGCGACTGAGCAA